GTATGTATAGGTCTTAACATCTAAATGTAAGGCAATGTGTCATAGTATTAAAAGTATGTCATAGTACACTTTGTATGTGTGTCATAGTGTTAAAAGTGTGTCATAGTACACTTAGTATGTGTGTCATAGTGTTAAAAGTGTGTCAGAAAGTATACTTAGTATGTGTGTCATAATGATTAAAGTATGTCATAGTACACTTAGTATGTGTGTCATAATGTTTAAATTGTGTCATGGTACACTTAGTATGTGTGTCATAGTGTTAAAAGTGTGTCATAGTACACTTAGTATGTGTGTCATAATGTTTAAAGTGTGTCATAGTACACTTGGTATGTGTGTCATAATGTTTAAAGTGTGTCATAGTACACTTAGTATGTGTGTCATAATGTTTAAAGTGTGTAGTACTACACTAATGTAGTATAGTGTTAAAGTGTACTACGGTACGGTACGGTACTGTGTTTTAGTGTACTAAGGTAGTACTGTGTTTTAGTGTACTAAGGTAGTACTGTGTTTGGTAGTATTGTGTTTTAGTGTACTAAGGTAGTACTGTGATTTAGTGTACTAAGATAGTACTGTGTTTTAGTGTACTAAGGTAGTACTGTGTTTTAGTGTCCTAAGGTAGTACTGTGTTTTAGTGTACTAAGGTAGTACTGTGTTATAGTGTACTGAGGTAATACTGTGTTTTAGTGTACTATGGTAGTACTGTGTTTTAGTGTACTCCGGTAGTACTGTGTTTTAGTGTACTATGGTAGAACTGTGTTTAGTGTACTATGGTAGTACTGTGTTTTAGTGTACTAAGGTAGTACTGTGTTTTAGTGTACTCCGGTAGTACGTAGTACACTAAAGTAGTATATCCGTGTGTTAGTACAATCAGGTGATATGTGTGTTATAGTACACTAAGGTGATATATATGTGTTATAGTACACTAAGGTATATATTTTACAGATCACTAAGGTGATATGAGTGTTAAAGTACACTAAAGAATTATGTGTTGTAGTTCACTAAGGTATATATGTTATGGTACACTAAGGTGGTATATGTGTGTTATAGTACACTAAGGTGGTATATGTGTGTTATAGTACACTGAGGTGGTATATGTGTGTTATAGTACACTAAGGTAGTATATATGTGTTATAGTACACTAAGGTGGTATATGTGTGCTATTGTACACTAAGGTAGTTTGTGTGTTATAGAACACCAAGGTAGTATGTGTTATAATTGACTACGGTAGTATGTGTTATAGTTGACTAAGGTAGTATGTGTTATTGTTCACTAAGGTATATATGTTATAGTTCACTAAGGTGGTATATGTGTGTTATAGTACACTGAGGTGGTATATGTGTGTTATAGTACACTAAGGTAGTATATATGTGTTATAGTACACTAAGGTGGTATATGTGTGTTATTGTACACTAAGGAAGTTTGTGTGTTTTAGAACACTAAGGTAGTATGTGTTATAATTGACTACGGTAGTATGTGTTATTGTTCACTAAGGTAGTATGTGTTAATAGTTCACTAAGGTATATATGTTATAGTTCACTAAGGTGGTATATGTGTGTTATGGTACACTAAGGTAGTATGTGTTATTGTTCACTAAGGTATATGTGTCATAGTTCACTAAGGTATATGTGTTACAGTTCACTAAGGTATATATGTGTCATAGTTCACTAAGGTAGTATGTGTTAGAGTTCACTAAGGTAGTATGTGTTCACTAAGGTATGTATGTTATAGTTCACTAAGGTATATGTGTTATAGTTCACTAAGGTAGTATGTGTGCACTAAGGTATGTATGTTATAGTTCATTAAGGTATATGTGTTATAGTTCACTAAGGTATATGTGTTAATAGTTCACTAAGGTATATATGTGTCATAGTTCACTAAGGTATATATGTGTTATAGTTAACTAAGGTATGTATGTGTTATAGTTCACTAAGGTATATATGTGTTATAGTTCACTAAGGTATATGTGTTATAGTTCACTAAGGTAGTATGTGTTATAGTTCACTAAGGTATATGTGTTATAGTTCACTACGGTTTATGTGTTATAGTACACTACGGTATATGTGTTATAGTTCAATAAGGTATATGTGTTATAGTTCACTAAGGTATATGTGTTATAGTTTACTAAGGTAGTATGTGTTATAGTTCACTAAGGTATGTATGTTATAGTTCACTAAGGTATATGTGTTGTAGTACACTAAGGTATATGTGTTATAGTACACTAAGGTATATGTGTTATAGTACACTAAGGTGGTATATGTGTGTTATTGTACACTAAGGTGATATATGTGTGTTATAGTACACTAAGGTATATGTGTTATAGTTCACTAAGGTAGTATATGTGTGTTATAGTACACTAAGGTGGTATATGTGTGTAATTGTACACTAAGGTATATGTGTTATAGTTCACTAAGGTAGTATATGTGTGTTATAGTACACTGAGGTATATGTGTTATAGTTCACTAAGGTAGTATATGTGTGTTATAGTACACTAAGGTGGTATATGTGTGTTATTGTACACTAAGGTGATATATGTGTGTTATAGTACACTAAGGTATATGTGTTATAGTTCACTAAGGTAGTATATGTGTGTTATAGTACACTAAGGTGGTATATGTGTGTAATTGTACACTAAGGTATATGTGTTATAGTTCACTAAGGTAGTATATGTGTGTTATAGTACACTGAGGTATATGTGTTATAGTTCACTAAGGTAGTATATGTGTGTTATAGTACACTAAGGTGGTATATGTGTGTTATTGTACACTAAGGTGATATATGTGTGTTATAGTACACTAAGGTATATGTGTTATAGTTCACTAAGGTAGTATATGTGTGTTATAGTACACTAAGGTGGTATATGTGTGTAATTGTACACTAAGGTATATATGTTATAGTACACTAAGGTGGTATATGTGTGTTATTGTACACTAAGGTGATATATGTGTGTTATAGTACACTGAGGTATATGTGTTATAGTTCACTAAGGTAGTATATGTGTGTTATAGTACACTAAGGTGGTATATGTGTGTAATTGTACACTAAGGTATATATGTTATAGTACACTAAGGTGGTATATGTGTGTTATTGTACACTAAGGTGATATATGTGTGTTATAGTACACTGAGGTATATGTGTTATAGTTCGCTAAGGTATATGTGTTATAGTTGACTAAGGTAGTATGTGTTATAGTTGACTAAGGTAGTATGTGTTCACTAAGGTAGTATGTGTTCACTAAGGTAGTATGTGTTATAGTTCACTAAGGTAGTATGTGTTCACTAAGGTAGTATGTGTTCACTAAGGTAGTATGTGTTATAGTTCACTAAGGTAGTATGTGTTCACTAAGGTAGTATGTGTTCACTAAGGTAGTATGTGTTATAGTTCACTAAGGTAGTATGTGTTCACTAAGGTAGTATGTGTTCACTAAGGTAGTATGTGTTATAGTTCACTAAGGTAGTATGTGTTCACTAAGGTAGTATGTGTTCACTAAGGTAGTATGTGTTATAGTTCACTAAGGTAGTATGTGTTCACTAAGGTAGTATGTGTTCACTAAGGTAGTATGTGTTCACTAAGGTAGTATGTGTTCACTAAGGTAGTATGTGTTATAGTTCACTAAGGTAGTATGTGTTCACTAAGGTAGTATGTGTTATAGTTCACTAAGGTAGTATGTGTTCACTAAGGTAGTATGTGTTCACTAAGGTAGTATGTGTTCACTAAGGTAGTATGTGTTATAGTTCACTAAGGTAGTATGTGTTATAGTTCACTAAGGTAGTATGTGTTCACTAAGGTAGTGTGTGTTCACTAAGGTAGTATGTGTTATAGTTCACTAAGGTAGTATGTGTTTACTAAGGTAGTATGTGTTCACTAAGGTAGTATGTGTTCACTAAGGTAGTATGTGTTATAGTTCACTAAGGTAGTATGTGTTCACTAAGGTAGTATGTGTTCACTAAGGTAGTATGTGTTATAGTTCACTAAGGTAGTATGTGTTCACTAAGGTAGTATGTTCACGAAGGTATATGTGTTATAGTTTACTATGGTAGTATTCGTATTTTACTTCACTTGTGTATGGGAAAATCCGTAGTGTGGAAACCAAACCCATAAGTGATCTCGATGGAACATGAAATAAGCTATTGAAACCAAGACTAAATAAAAAAGGAAAACCAACACGTTTTACACATAGACAGGAACAACTTTGGAAACGAGTCCAGAAATAAATCCGGCGTCTTCGCTTTTTACACTCGATATTTCTACACAATCATTAATCATTGAATTTTGCCTACATGTTCCCAATTATCACATTTCTTACAATTTTGCTTTCAAATTCTTATCTATTATCAATAACTGTAATTAATCGCCATCCGTCACTAGAAATATATCACATGTTTACAGATATTACTATAACGGTATGTTTGTGTCATCTGTTGCTATAAATAGAATTTTTGTGTCATATGTTGCTCTAAATGGAATATTTGTGTCACTTTTTTCTATAAATAGAATATTTGTGTCAAATCTTGCTGGAAACAGAATGATTTAAGGCCTCTAGACTACAATGAAAGTTTATCTCATTAATGCATTTGTATACATGCACTTGTCTGCAACCATCTCCCGTCTTTTCAGGCTTGGAAAAGAAGTCCAGCATTATTATCTATGGTATATTTCATTTCCATGTGAGAAGATATTCGTTGTCTGTCTCGCAATGTTTTCTTTTGCAATTGTCGTATATACATTATCTTGACATGTCACAACCCACGCGTGTCTGACGAATGATGACGATTAATGTCTAAAGCACTCATGTATATAAGTAAACATCACAGTATAGATAATATATCACACGCGCGACTAAAATGTGAAGAATAACTTAACACGTGCAAAGACAACAGAAATCCAACCATGTCCTTTGCTTTGTGAGTGTTCGTGCGTACGACAAACAATGTCACGTGCACAGAAAGCAATTAGGACGTTAATAATCCGCTTTATACCACCAAAACACCCAGTACTGGGAA